GTATTACACACACACACAAACTTTATGAGTCTATTTTCTCTCCATATAAAAGCATATTTATTTTAAATTTGGTAACTTAATCATTTTCAGTGTTCATTTTATTCTAAAATTATTTTTAATGGTCAATAAGTAAATAATACATTTTAAAATTGTTTTGATCAACAATACATTTTTGCATAAAATAGACTCATAAAGTTTGTGTAATACTTGTTTGTTGAGTCTATTTTCTCTCCATACTTTTAAGACTTTTTGTTCTAAGTCGTAAGTTGGTAAAAACTTCCAACTAAAACTATGTTATGTCTAAGTAATTGCAGAGGAAACTTGTTCTAACGTTTGTTTTGTTGATTTTTGTGAGCTGACCCTTGTGAGCATTTTCCAAGTCTGATCACATGCACATGTGTGTGTTAGTGGCAGGCTGGCAGTGCGCACCCCACTGAGACTGTTCTACATCTGGATACACAAGGTCTTTGTAGGGGATGTGCAGTTTTAGAACACAGTACCTGCGATCCACATCTGACTCTGAGCTGGGTGAGTGGTTGGGGTAACCGTGGTATTTCTCCTGTGGAAAAAAAAAAAAAAAAACACACGTCAATGTACTGTATTACAGACACAAATCAGACCCTGATGTAATGAGGCATCAGTTCTGCAGGGGGCAGCAAAGACCTAAATATCTCACCTCTTCCTCACTGTCATCTGCTTTGGGCTTCTTTTTGTCTTTCTCCTTTTCYTTCCCTTTCTTCTTGTCATCATCACTCTTTTTCTTTTCTTTTTCTGGCAGGAGGTCATCCAGCCACGCCAAGTCATGCCGGGAGAAGACCATATCCAGCAGCTTTCGGACCACCATCAGACCCAGAATCTGGTGTTTGATAGAGAAATATGACAACTGTCTTAAGATTCAGCTGGTATGCAAATGAAAAATGAATATAATCTCACACAGTGAAATAAAATCATTTACTTATATTTTATACAGCACAATCTGACTTTATAGCTTTCACATTTTTCCACAACAACAAATTAAAATCTATCTGATATTATTGTTCATTTAGTATTATATAAAGGCTGTGAGTGTTGTGGCAGGCATCATTTTAGTAGAAGTAAAGTCATAAAAGTTCTACTCTCTTTAAGTCCACACACATCAGGACCTATTAAAGCTAATCTGGTCTTGAAATCATTTTAATCCAACCTCAAATATACAATAAGCACACAATAGAATCCARCACGTCGTGTCATCATTTGTTAAATAAAAACGAAGCTAAAATAGAAAACCTGTGTTGCTGATCAGATGCATTGATTAACTGGAKGTGATCACCTCAACAAAGCAGGGGTTTTATTAATTTGCTGCTATARAGCCTGCAGGTGTATTTTAACAAAAATACACCTGGACCAGTCCTTCTGTGTCTCTTTCCTGTCCCTCAAACCCAGCCAGTCAAGGCAGATGGCTGCTTGTCCTGAGCCTGGTTCTGGTTCTGCTGGAGGTTTTTTCCTGTTGAAAAGGAGTTTTTCTCTCCACTGTTACCAATGTGCTGCTCAGGATGGGAGACTGTGATGAAGTGATTCAACACAATCTGCTGGCTTAATTTAGATTGTTTTGTGTGTGTGTGTGTGTGTGTGTGTGTGTGTGTGCGTGCGTGCGTGCGTGCGTGCGTGTGTGCGTGCGTGTGTGTGTGTGCGTGTGTGTGTGTGTGTGTGTACAGTGCCCCGAGATGATGTACATTGTGAATTGGTGCTATAAAAATAGACTGAATTGAATTGAATTGAATTGAAATGGAGTTTAAACGCAAATTCAACTTGGAAGACTGGTAACCTTACCTGCTCCTGCAGACCTCCATCTCAAACCCAACTATGTCCAATCAGCTCCTGTCTGCCAGTAAATAAAAGCCAGCCACCTCGATCACACAGTCTGTGTGTCAGCTGACCATCAGCCTGCCCCCACCCCTCCTCCACCCTTCATTTTCTGGAGAGGGTACATTTGGACCGGTTCCTCCACGTTCGGCCGTGTCTCTTCCCGTCCCTCAACCCAGCCGGTCGAGGCAGATGGCTGCCTGTCCTGAGCCTGGTTCTGTTGGAGGTTTCTTCCTGATTAGCAGGGAGTTTTTCCTCTCCACTGTTTGCTCAGGATGGGAGACTGTGGTGAAGTGGTTCAACACAAAGTGTTGCCTTCTTCTTTAGATTGTTCTTTTCATGACCACCACCACCAGTGTCGGGCCCCGGGGGATTAAATCTCTACCCCTAATTTAAAGCATCTCTTATGAGATTACAGCTTCACTCAGCACTCTCGTCCTCTGCCAGGGTCCGAGCGCCAAACTCTAATGCCATTTATTCATAACATTGTTGGTCCGGTCATGTCAATAAACCTCCTAAATTTCATTCTGTCTTTGTGTGAGTCTTTCTAGGTTGAATTGAAAAGACACCAGCAATGACCTTAGAGAAACAACTGCTGCTGCCCATCAGTCTGGCTAGAGTNGTGTGTGTGTGTGTGTGTGTGTGTACAGTGCCCCGAGATGATGTACATTGTGAATTGGTGCTATAAAAATAGACTGAATTGAATTGAATTGAATTGAATTGAAATGGAGTTTAAACGCAAATTCAACCTGGAAGACTGGTAACCTTACCTGCTCCTGCAGACCTCCATCTCAAACCCAATTATGTCCAATCAGCTCCTGTCTGCCAGTAAATAAAAGCCAGCCACCTCGATCACACAGTCTGTGTGTCAGCTGACCATGGGCCTGCCACCACCCCTCCTCCACCCTTAGTTTTCTGGAGAGGGTGCATTTGGACCGGTTCTTCCACGTTCGGCCGTGTCTCTTCCCGTCCCTCAACTCAGCCGGTCGAGGCAGATGGTCTCCTGTCCTGAGCCTGGTTCTGTTGGAGGTTTCTTCCTGATTAGCAGGGAGTTTTTCCTCTCCACTGTTTGCTCAGGATGGGAGACTGTGATGAAGTGGTTCAACACAAAGTTGCCTTCTTCTTTAGATTGTTCTTTTCATGACCACCACCACCAGTGTCGGGCCCCCCCGGGGGGGGGGGGGGGGGGGGGGGGGGGCGCCACGGTGCGCGTGTGTGTGTGTGTGTGTGTGGGGGGGGGGGGGGGGGTAAATCTCTACCCCTGATTTAAAGCATCTCTTATGAGATCACAGCTTCACTCAGCGCTCTCGTCCTCTGCCAGGGTCCGAGCGCCAATCTCTAATGCCATTTATTCATAACATTGTTGGTCCGGTCATGTCAATAAATCTCCTAATTTCAGTCTGTCTTTGTGTGAGTCTTTCTAGGTTGAATTGAAWAGACACCAGCAATGACCTTAGAGAAACAACTGCTGCTGCCCATCAGTCTGGCTAGAGTTAAAGGTTATTTTCAAACAATTTGYTGTCATCAACCTTCAGTGAGACATTTTATTCACAAATYGAAAATACAGCTGCTGATATTCTTAGTRAGATCAGACTGGGCAATACTCATATCTGACTCTACAGGTCTCTGTAGGTTAACAGATTAAATGGTAAGGTTCTACAACAGAACTGCTGAAAAAGGGAAAGAATGAAGATACTGCAATGATCCAAAAGCCCAGATTTCAAACTGACTGGAACACCATGAGACCATAACAGAGCTCTGCAGAAACAAATGTCTGCATTGGATTGAAACAATGCTGTGTAGAAAAGTGGGACTAAATTTCTTTACAATCACGCCTGAGACTGAGAAAGTCATACAGAAATAAAAAAAAAAAACATTAGCAGTTATTGCTGCTAATTGAGGTTCTACAAGTTAAAGACKTGTGTGCACTCAGGTTTCCCATCTTGACTTTGATTTTATTTAATGGTATGAAGGAATCTGTTGTGTGTTTTTGAACACTTAACATTAAATTTAATAATTTTAGAATTAGGTAAAGACAAGAGCTAATTATTAATTATTATATCTTGATATTTATGATATTGATATTTATTTAATTTCCCTTTGGGATCAGTAAAGTATTTTAAATTGAATTGAATTGAAATGAACTGAATGTATAATACCTATAAGACCTAAAACATTGTGGAATTTTCTTTTTCTGTTCCACTTTGTAAATCCTTAGTTCTTTCACTCTTCTCATTTTTGTGTATATTTTGTGAAATASAGTTTGTACATTTAAAACAAAAGTTTGAAAAAAATGTTGCTCATCTCTTTCAGCTATAGTCAGCCRAAGATTCATGCAAACTGTTCATAAACACATACCATGACAGGAAATATAATGGCTAAGAAGGTGGATTTAAGGACCCACAGCAAAGCCAGACACATAATCTGGATAAGAGTGAACAGGTGAACCCTCCTCAGAGGAACATGGCGGAGATAGGTGTAGTCAGGCTGGTGCTTGGATGGCATCAAATATAGCTTGATTCTGTCCCAGAACTGCAGAGGACAATGAGATAAGGGGATAGAAAKGGGGGAAAAAGCACAATGTTTGATCCTAACGTTGGTTATTTTTAATGAGAAAATGTCCACCACAAACATAACATAGCTCACTGTTTAAACAATTGTTTTTATAGATTTACGTGACTTAAAATCCAAACTCCAGAGGTTTTGTCATGTGATTTTGTTRTTTAATCTAGTTTGTATAAAGTCAACAGATTGTGTTTGCCAGCTTACTTCTCTGTTTACTTGGTAACTTTAAAAAAGTCGCTTCTCATTTAAAGAAGCTCAGCCATAAAACCCTTACTTCTGGTGAATAACACGTAACATCTGACAGGAAGTGTACCTGGATTCCACTGAGAGAAGCGACACCCATATAAAGGAAGATGCCATACAGCACAGGCATGGGGATGAACTGCCACCAACAGAAAAGACACATCATGATGTACTGCACTCATACTTTAGACAGCTAACAAGGTTTTAGTTTATAGATCATTAACTGCTAATACGCAACTATATACTTATATAAAATATACTGCAGTGTTGCGAGTTATTCACGCTAAAAATTAGACAGCTCAATTATTTTCTTCATTTCTTACTTTGAGTATTGGAGCGAGGAAGATGGAGACTCCGGTGAGAACAAACACCAAAATGCCCGTCACTCTCTGCTCTCTGTTTGATAATGAAAAAGTTCAGTCAGTTACACACATGTTCTCTCAGAGAAAATTGTCRATGAGACATTTAACAATGTGAATTTACAGTTACATTGGAGGGATAGGGAGTGTGTATGTGTGCAGGTGGGTATTCCCTATTTGGGGATGATTTTGGAATACACCGCTGCCTGTGGGGACCAAATGGTGCCTATGTGGACTAGGGGTGCAATGACACAGAAAATTCAAGATTCGGTTCGGTTCGATACTTTAGTCTCACGGTTCAATWTATTTTCAACAAATTTTAATGCCCCTCTTAATTTGTAAATTATTGAAAATAATTATGATAATTTGTTTAACCTCTAAAGTACAGTTTTTAAACTAAATGTTGCTGAAACAGCAAGTTTCTCAGTGGATCTGTGCTCAACAGTGCAGCCTAGGTGGAGTAGTCGAACACAGATCCATTGATCCTTTAACACAGAGCATCTTCAGAAGAAAAGCTGATAAAATAAATTTTAAAAAATTGTATTGTTCCATACTTAGTGTGTATTGAACCTAAAGCACTGTATWGAACGGGTCTAYACAGAYACATGTATTGCCAAAAGTATTGTCTCACCTGCCTTGACTCACATATGAGCTTAAGCTACATCCCATTCCTGATCCATAGGGTTCAATATGATGTTGGTCCACCCTCTGCAGCTAGAACAGCTTCAACTCTTCTGTCCACAAGGTTTAGGAGKGTTTATGGGGATTTTTGACCATTCTTCCAGAAGCACATCTGTGAGGTCACACACTGATGTTGGACAGAAGGTCTGGCTCTCAGTCTCTGTTCTAATTCATCCTAAAGATGTTCTATCAGGTTGAGATCAGGACTCTGTGCAGGTCAGTCCAGTTCATCCACACCAGACTCTGCATCCAGGTCTTTATGGACTTTGCTTTGTGCACTGGTGCACAGTCATTTGGATGGGTGAGTAAATACTTTTGGCAATATGGTGTACATGTATTGTTGCACCCCTAATGTGAAAGCCTATCCCCATGGGGGGAAATGCCACTGGTGGATCGGGGGTTAGGTTCAGGACTAAAGTGTGAATTGAGTTTTGGTTAGGTTTAGGGGCAGGTATGTGGAAAAACAAACAGAACATATAAAATCAGCTGTTAGTTTAGCAGAGCAGAAACACTGACTTCAAACAAACAAAAAAAGGGTTTAGGATAATGGGTCAGGGTAGGACTGTGGAAATTACTGTACTAGGCCGTGTGTGTGTGTGTGTTTGTGTGTGTGTGTGTGTGTGGGTGTGTGTGTGTGTGTGGKGGGGGGGTTATTGTTTGATCTCCAGTTGTAAGTATGCCCACTTGTAAAGCAATAAACAGTCTCCAGTTTTGATGGTGGTTTCAATTTATTTGAGACTAAATGTCAACTAAGTCAGATGGGACCACAGTCCCTGAGAACATTCCAAAATGGATTAAAATCTTTCACAGCCTGCAGGGTTCTAGCTTGTCCACATTGTAGCAGAAAGATGWAAGAAAGGGGATTTTACTCCTATTACTGTTTTAAACTGTTGTTAAAGAGGGCATCAGATCCAATTTTTACATCAATAAAATAAAGGAAAAATTATCAGGGRATTAAATACTGTTCCTCCACTGTACCTTTCTTGTCTGTCTTCTTTGTATTTATTCACTGTGGACTAACCTGACCCCGAGGAATTGTGGCTGTTCTCCTGGAGCGCTGGATTCACTCTCCATCTTCAGAGAATCAATGTGGGCAATGGAGATCACGGTGGCAGCCACATACCATGGCAGACCCAAGAAAGAACAGACAGCCATGAGGATCCCGACCCAGAACAGATCCAAGTGGTATCCACAACCTTTCTGCCAGGGAAACCACAAAAATCATTTTTAAACAAGAGTTCTGGTGATATTTTACTTTCCAATAAATATTTGTATGCTTGGTATGGCATGCTTATTTTAATAAATGGTTTTAAATGTATGAATGTATGAAGTGCAATAAAAACTGCATTAAAATAAAAAAAAAAGATAAAACTAAAAAAAACTGTCTGATCATGGAATGTTTTTCATAAAGATATTTTATGATAGGTAATATGAAGTAGTATACCTTAAGTTTGTTCTCCTTGCGGTTAACAATGACGGCACTGATCTGCTGGTCCATGAAGATGAGGATAGTCACAAGCAGGGCAGGAATGAAGCTAGCCAAATATATCCACCATGGGTTCTTTCCAAAAGGCATCACCAACCAGCCACGATCTGACCGAGTTGGCTTAGGAGAGATGAGAGGCCATTTAATTTCCACAAAAACTCTTCATTTGAACAGATTGACTTTTAAAAGTCAAAAACATATACTAATTATAATTCACTTCACCCAGCATTATACAGTAAAACCAACCAATGTCTTTAAAAAATAAATATATTTTATTTGCTACTTTGGAAGGAGATAAGAAGATTGGTAGAACTTTCTTGCTAAGCTAAGAAATCTTTGCAAGCTAATGTATAAAAGCATGAGTGTTTTTTGTCTTTTCTCTTCTCCTGATCAGAACTTGTGACATGTGTGTTTGACACTTTCACAAAGACAGCTCGTCATGTAGGTCCCACAAGTTTTCACTTTTCCAGAGCTGTTTGGCAGGTTAACTGWTTCCACCAGCCAAGTTTGAAGCCTATGCTAACAAAGCTAAAAACAGAAGAAATATATGAGGGCCAACACGATCATACAGGCAGAATGTGAATGAATTTTAAAGCTATTAGATGACATTTTCAAAGACCTGACACTTCAGTCTCAGTGCTACTTGTCATGGTTTGTGTATTGGCAATGCTTTTTGGTTTTGCTTTGACCTTTTGTGAGTGTTCCTTGTGTTTTTGCTATTCAGCTAACATGTTGTTTATGGTTCTTGTTTCTGGCTTCTCTTATATCACCTGTATTCAATTACTGTAATCAGCACACCTGTCACTCAGTTATCCATCTCACTACATCACTGGTTTCCTCAGCAATTTATCAGTTTGTTGGTTAACCTCTGAACATTTTATGCTTCACTGATTTTTCTGGTGTCTTAGTACAGCTAATGTAGATTACCTTTATACATTTAAAATTACCCTCATAATTTAGAATACAATTTAAAATCTTTCTTCTATCACAATTGTGTTCCATCTTGGTCGTCAAAAGCCACAATTCTGTAAGTTAAAACTCTTCTCTGCTCCAACACACCTGATTTGAGGGAATGGATGATTAGATTAACAAGCTAAAGAGGTAATTCAGCCACTTAATCAGGTGTGTTGGAGCAAGGAAACAAKTAAAACATGCAGGATAGCTGAATTCTTGGACCAGGATTGAACACCCCCTGTTCTAACATATAAAACATTCAACAACCAAGCTCCATCATATGTTAAACATCTTATTGTTCCATACTTTCCTAACAGAGCACTTCRCTCTCAGACTGCAGGTTTACTTGYGGTTCCTSRAGTTTCTAAAAGTAGAATGGGAGGYAGAGCTTTCAGTTATCAAGCTCCTCTCTTGGAACCATTTTTCAGTTTTTGTGTGTGAGGCTGACACTCTGCTTTCAAGATTAGATTWAAAAATTACTTTGTTGCTCAATCCTATATTATTTCTTACACATAGTGTAATCTCTTCATAATATGTTGTGGCAATAGTGTATCTAGATATGGTATTTGTATACATTTCTATACAAGGAATAAATTCATTGCAAAAAATCAATAGTATTCACAACCTCATAAACCCACAATAGAYGTAAATGCAGATTTAAGTCAAACAGAAGTGGCATCATATTCCTAGCTTTACTGCTGTCAATAGCTGCTGAGAAAATGATTTAACAAATATTATTAAAAAATAATTTAGGATTGACTCCAGTCACGGTGATACAAAATCCTTTCAGAGTTTGGATGCTGTGAATTTTAAAATTCAACGTTCCCCTTAGATTATACCTGCCTTCCCTTTCAAAACAGTTCCCACAAGTTCCTTGGAAGTAATTTTTTTATTAATTTTATACATAAATTGTGTAGTTTGATAGTTTACAATGTCATGAAATTTAAATTTTTTAGATGTAACAAATAATTTGTTTATGTGTTTATGAAAACAACATTGTGAATTATTCTAACAGCTCTTTTTTGCAGTGTGAGTAGTGGTTGTAATGGACATCGCCTCACATCTCAGTGCAGTAAATCAGATAAGAGTAATGAACAGTACAGAATGTGAAGTGCCTTGGTGTCCAGAMATGCCTAGCTTTGCCATAACTGAAATGCTTCTTGATCACTTAGAACAGATGGGACTCATGGATATCCTTGGTTCTGGTTCTGTAATAAATTTATTYCTGGTAAAAAGGGTAGTTTTTCTCCAGTATTGTCCTCCCTTCTATACTTAGTCAAGATTGTTTTATAGCGACGTTTTGATGTTGGTTTCCTTACATTACTTTTATAGTAACTGGCATTTTAAAATACACTGAATTTGAATGTTTGTGTTGTAATTAGACTGAACTGGCTCAATGCAATTATATTGACAATTGATTTGTTTTAGAGTGTATTAAATTTTATGTTAAAAAGAAAAAACCCATCCAGAGGTCCTCTGGATGGGTTCTTCCTTAGTGAAACGTTTCATCTCTCCTCCAAGAGACTTAAATTGTATGTCATTTGATAGCATTAAGTTTGTTATTTTTTTTATAGTGTCCTGAGGTGGTTTTAGTTGTAACCTGGTTCTATATAAATAAACTGAACTTAACTAAAATGAAAAGTATTTCTGAATCCTTGAGAACTACCTACTCTGTGTTTGTATTGAGGTCTTGCTGGGTCCACACTCACCATCCACTAAAAGTAACATTTGTGTGCCTCAAAATTTGTTTTAGGTAAATGTTTTTTTTTTTTTGTATTTTTTTACTTGTAAATGAACTAATGTTTAAAGAGAATTTGTTGTACCTTAAACTCTGTYGGGACAATTAGCTTGGGAGTCTCGAGCCCAATGAGCATATCAAGCCCAACAAATGTCATGATGGACATGAAGATGGAGAAGTCACTGATGAGTTTCCTTAACTGGTGGCAAACACACAAAAAAATAATATCAGTACAAAAGTCAGACAAAAGACAATGATTAATACTTAAAAAGGTTTATCATCACCATGTGTGCTGAAAAAGGAAGGGATAATAAAGGTGCTTCACTTTATGGAGAAAATTAGTTTATTGTCTAACATTTCAGGCCTTTTGATCATCACCTGTTTACATTCTTGAAAATGTCTAGAATTTTAACAATCTAAAAAAATTGTTGTAATTTTGACGTTAAGTATTCTGTTGTGCATAACACCACAGTATGTAAGATTTAAAATGACAATATCCTACCACCAAGAAAAATGGAATCTGAAAACATCACATGTTTTTATACAACACCAATCACTAAAAGGCTAAGGCATTGWGTTAAATGTAAATGAAACCAAAACGCAATCTCATATTTTGGGTTGCCACAACGTGCAAACCCATATGAAAGATTTGGATATAGTGCAGAYTGTTTTTAATGCAGCCAGGGCTTGAACCTGCAACTTCAGGAGTACAAAACCACAGCACTGGTTACCAAGCTACCACAATCACTGGAACACATCAAACATATCAAATATTTTAGTTAAAATATTAATAAATTCTATGAAAATCACAAAATGATTTTGAATGTGATAGCATTAACACATCTGAAATAAGTTGAACAAGCTCCATGTTTCCACTCTGTGAAGCATTCCCTCATCTTTGAACAACAGACTGTAAACATCTAGGAACTGAACAAGCTAGTTGCTGCTGCAGGCAGGCTAGTTCAGCACCAGGACTGTTCCACTGTCTAGTCWTGTTGTTRTAATGGATGCAGTGTGTGGTTTAACATSGCTAAAATAAACCTTTCCTGAAAAAGATTTAATGTGGATGGGAGCATATGTTCTAAAAACTCTACATACTTTATTGCATTGATGGTGTCTTTCCTGATGTGTAAGCTGCCCATGTCATAGGCACTGATACACCCCCATACCATCAGAGAGGCGAGCTTAACTGTGTACTGAATGGTCACCTCTCTTCTATCGTATGAAAGGCACCATGATTTTCAAAACAAAGAAAAAATTTGTTTTGTCTGATCACAGAATAGTTTTTCTACCTTTTTTGTTTGATTTTTTTCATGATAAAGCTAGCAGCCAGTGCGGTGGCCCACAATTTTATRCTATTTTTTTGTTAGCCAATGGACATGCAGAAAATTTGACATACACTCGAGCAGCTAAGGCTCATGGGACTTTTCATGAATTAAAATTTGAGTATWTGTGGTTGTWGAAAGTGTGCAAATCTAGATGTGTACTTAAATCTAATTTAAATATCTCTTGTGAGTTACTTGTTATTTGTGTTTAATTTTAATATAATTCAAAGATAAAGTAAGTGCCATGAGTTAAGACTGTCTGCACTACAGCCCCATTCGGGCCCCACTTTGGGCACCGCTGTTATAAAATAAAAACATTTAGTATGTGAATGGTGTTCACATAGCGCTTTAAAATGTGTTTGCAGATGGCTAGTTTGTGCCAATGACGTGATGTCAAGAACAGAATCAGAGCTGTTTTTATTGCAGTCATGACTGAAGGTCCAAAAATCATGGCCATCCAATATTGACTTGATATGTTTATTATGTGAGGTCCTGCCTTTTGGCAAAGAGAAATCCTTACAGATTCTTGAAATATTGGGATATTATGAGTCTTTCCAATTTTTCATTGAGGAACATTATTTTTAAACTGGTCAACTAAATGTATAGTTCCCCTGCTCAACTTTACTTTTAAGAGGTTCAGCCATTCTAAAAGGCTCTTTTAATCCCAATCCTTTTACTGACTTGACCTGACTCTCGCACAACTAGGTACCAGCTTCCTCACAACCCGGAAGGAAGAAGTGGGTAAAAAAAATGGTTGACTGATGGAATATTACATTGGACAAGAAAAATTTTCAAAGTGTTATGTTTACTTTAAGAGACCTTTTTTTAGTGGAMAGTTTTGTCACCTTGGTGGGGAAGTAGCGGCTGAACTTGAACTTCTTCAGGGARACAGTCATGGAGTAGGTGCCGAAGAAGAGAATGAAGGACATGAGGGCCAGRTCTGGGACATACTTGCAGGACTTTCCCACCAGAGAGCCTCCATACTTCAGACACTCCTTCTTGCTCAGCTGACTCCAGTCCAGAGCTGTCACATTCAACTAGGATGGTGGTGGCAGTGTTGGGCAGAAAGGAGAGAATGAAGAGTGAAGTGTTTCAACAAAAGACACAGAGTAACAACTGTCAGCACAAGTTTCAAGTTAGAAATAAAGGGGTGTGAGAGGTAGATGGAGAGAACAAAGGTTAAAAAAAGAAGGGGGAAGCTACTTTTTCTGGTGACTAAGGCAATACAGGGGTTAGCTGTCAGCAAGACATTTAGCTTATTCCAACACATTTTGATTAATTTTGCAGCTGAAATATTACCAACCCTGCCTGAAATACTAACATCCAGTTTGAAATGTAAGAAACCAACAAAAGTGTCAAAATAAAAGAGGAATGGAAACATGCACTTACCCCAGAAATACTAGACCTGTTATCTGGCATTGGAACTAAACCATTGAAGATCATTGCAGCCACTGTTAGTGAAGGGGGRCAATTGAAGTCATGAGGCAGAATTGAAAAGGGATGAGGAGAAAACAAAAGCAAAAAGAAATGCAAAACATGATGAGAATCCAGTTGGACATTGCAGAGAGCATTCAGAGACCCATGCAGACAAACAAAGAGGTACTCACTTGCAAGAGGCAGCAGCCAAATTGTGTGTGCGTGGTGAAAGCAAACAAGGAACAAATCAGTTACAGAAATCCATGTTCACATAAATTAATGATCATCTCTGTTTCTGGTTCTAAATTAKTGAGCGTCTGAGAACTTCCCAAGTTTGAATAAAATGCTATTTTCACTCTTTAGTCTTGTGTGAAATTATTTTTTACTGGTTATTGTAATAGACTAGAGTTACCAAACTAACCAGATGCTTTATTATTTTTCTATTTTGTTTCCTTACCTGGATTTTAAATGTATTTTTAATTTTTTTTTTATAAAATACTCTACACTACTGGACACATAGGCACCAGTGACCAGGAAAGTAAAACAAAATGAAATTGATGGATGGATGGATGGATAGATGTATGTATGTATAGATGGATGGATGGATGGATGGATGGATGGTTGGACAAACCTCTCCACACAGGTCAGAGACAAATTTGTGGAGAAGTATGGGTCAAGATTTGGTAATAAAATATTTTGCAATTGCTTAATATCTGAAAAAATCCAAATAAASTCCCATTTTTATTAGAAAATAAAGAAGATGATGCCACCGCAGTAAACTTGCCAAGAGAGGATCGTCCACTGAAACACATTGACTGGTATGGGTTAGAAGGACATTAATTATCTTGCAGAAGGGCAAACCCTGATGGAACTGGGCAGCTTTTCTGCAGTGATGGAATGATATATTCATAAAACCACTATGAGCTGCACAAAATTAGGCTTAAAAAAAAACATTGAGCAATAAAAGGAAGCATGTTGACATATTCGGGCTTCCAATTTTGAACACTTTCTATCAAYAGCAACAGAAACAGCACTAGTGAAMGTTACTAATGATATGGCCTCAGAAAGTGGACTTGTSTCCATWCTTAGAGCTCAGTGCTGCATTTGATTCAACTGATCATAATACAGAAGCTTGAACGTGACCTTGGGGTTTCAGGAACAGCTCTAAAATGGTTTGAGTCTAATTTATCTGATAGATTCCAGTTTGTAAATGTTAATAGTGAATTMTCTKCTTACACCAGAGTTGGTCATGGAGTTCCTCAGGGTTCAGTGCTTGGACCAGTCCTCTTTACTTTATATATGCTTCCATTACATAAAGATATTCACACCAGGAAAGTCCTTTGGTCTACTTGTTTAGTTTGAACCAAATAACGAACTTTAGTTTTTTTCCTTAGGTGCATTTTTCATTCACGTTATGAGTTTTGCAAGCAGACTATAATTTATAAACAAAGCCATGCAAGTGATGGCCATTGCTCCCATTGGACAGACACGATGGGGGCAGGACAGAGCACAGACCCAGAAATAAAGATGGTGTTAATACAACTGACTATTAAGAATATTAACAGYAGCTCATTCAGTAGAGGTTTTGCAATGATATACTTCTAATTTTAGGACGGAGTTGTCAAATGTGTGCCACCACCTGAAGAAGATGAGATGCTCCATGTTCSCTGACCCATAACGGTTCATTTTTTTGTRATGCAGTGTTAGCATTAGCAACACTGAAGGGCTAATTGTTACCATGATGAAGTTCAAAAAGACGCATGTTYCCTGTAGTTCAAGCGAACCACACCAGTGTTTGTTTGGAAGCAGGCCGAGACCACCTCAAAAATGGGTCTCGGTCTCGGATGTTTGATCCGCACCAGGGTTCACATGAGTGTATTCACGTCTGCATAAAAGGTTCGGACCAACGGGTGAAACAAACTCTGGTCCGTTTAAAGTGGACCAAATGTGTCGGGTGTGAATACAGCATGGGATAAATTTTTATTGTTATGCTGTTGAWACTCAGTTATATTTATCTATGAAATCTGATGAACCCAATCAGTTGCTTAGATTACAAGCATGTCTTCAAGACATAAAAATCTGGATGACTTTTAATTTTCTGCTTCTAAACTCAGAAAAGACAAAAGTTTAGGTTTTTGGACATTGAGCATTTTAGGAATAAACTTTGCAGCCTTTACTTCCTTCTCCTATGACAAATTTTGTTGTGACTTGACGCTTTATAAATAAGCTGAATTGAATTTATTTAAATGGGTTTTAATTTCTATTTACTATAAAATATGATAAAAATAATCATGTTTAACAGTGGGACTGGTGCAACAAAATCAGACCATCAACTCTGAACTCACTGAAACRTGCTGAATGTTCAATTCAACAACTGGGTTTTGGTTCACATACGGTTGAGACAAGTTTATTAACTGCTCRGAAATCTGACCTAGCTGCAGATTCCTCTAAGGGCGACACTGGCTCCTTGAAAATAACCCYCCCACCATCACTCCTACACATTTTCCCACCCTTGCTCCCACAGTCTCTCTGAGCTAAGAGATGAACTCACTCGAGTCTGGGGCCAAGCACTCGCACTTGAAGGTGGTGACATAGTCTGTCTTGAAGTCGGTGTTGATGGGGTAATATTTGAAAGCAGCCACCATCTTCTTGATAGCATCAGAAATGAAGATAAAGGAGATCAGGCTGGARAAGCCCTCCTCAGTGAAGCGTGTCATGTATTTGATGATGTAACTGGCATCTGAGGCCACGAGGATCAAACACTGCAGGCAGGAGTGGATACCGATCCACAGACGCAGCTCCATATAATCTATGCCATTGTTTCTATGGAGGTGGGAAGTTAAAAGACAARKCTTGTAATTAAAGACAACCATGGACAAATTTCTGTCAGAAATGTGATCATTTAGCCTAACAGTAAACATGCATTGTCTAATTTGTTCTATTTCAGTACAAAATCATGATAAAAGCGTACAATGAAGAGTTGCCACAGACGTTGTGTTCAGGTGTTAACTTTCACTCAACATGGGCAGAAAAGTCTGATTCATTTTGGGCTTTTAAATGTTTGTTTGAACTGTTCTTTTACTAGGGAGAATAATTTTACACCAYACAACATTTTTACTGACAGCCACGTGAGCATCATGGAGACCCTCAAAGGGCCAGTCAACTTCAACGTTTCATGTTTGACTTAGACTAAACAGAAAACGTCCCATTCTTCACCTCAAAGCTGCAGCTGAGCATCACTAATAAACAATAACTGAGCTCTACATGGTATTTCCTGCATAGAAACAGTGTTTAACACATCCTATAAACACTGTAAAGTGTATGACTGACTAAATGTGAAATAAATACAGAAATACTATTAAAAGTAAGAGAGTTTAACTCAATGTTGAGTTGAGGTGAGTATCTCTCCCACTTTCTGACAGGGCATTCCATGCATAATAAACATGCATTATGGGAGATGTAGTTTATGGTCAATGCTGGCTTTAAAGCAGCTTATTCTGATACATTAGTACAGGGCTATTCAACTAAGATGTTCAGGGGACCAAAATTACTCAAAGCCAACAGCTTAGGACAAGTATTATCCTTCATTTCTTTAAATAATGATTATTTATTAAACTGAATCATAAATTTGAAGTTTACCATTGATATAAAAAACTATTTTCATATTAAATCAAGTAAAACACACAAAGGAAATAAACTATTTATTTATTTATTTTGTTGGGGAGCCTTTACGTGACTGAAGTAACATTGAATTTGAAATATGCCATACAACTTCAGTAGTTTTTAAAACAAGACTTGGCTGTACAAGTTTGGATTTATTGTGGACCTCTAATGCACATGGATAACACCATAAGGACCAGGTCTGGTAAAGTCTTATTAGTGATCGTGATTGACTGCAATTGGTAGTTGGCTTTTYTCATCCTCAGTTAAAAAGGAAACTTGTTAGGATGTTCAGGACCCATCAAGGCTCAAGCCTGCCAGGAACTGGAAACTGCTGGAACACCAGTGTCACTGCTCTCAGTGACGCTAGCTTGACATCACCACAGACTGAAATGGTGCTGACCAAGAAAGAAGCATCCAAAGCAAAACAAATCCTTTCAATGACTGAAATTTGCAGTTACCAACATGTTTTTTTTTTTTGTAATTTAGTTTCTTTGTGAAAAGTKTGCTGCTGCTTTTATTATTATTAAATCTTTGTTTTTACTATAGGTCCTCTGAGAGAATGCGTTCTTGGGTCTTGTCCTCATCAAATGCTGATTAGAAAAGTTGAGGATGGTTCATGATGCAAGGAACATTTAACATAATAATATTGGGTGTATATGCATGCATTTGAACCTGCATGTATAGTTTTGACTTTTTGTGGATTTGGGAAAAATCCAAAAAATTTTCAAATTTGTACAACGAGTTCTTTTCAAATATATATAAACTGTGTTTTTCACCCTGGACAAAGAACGGTTCAAATCAATCATTTAAAAASCAGAGATTAATTTGACATTCATAGCCTGAATATAACTGTATGTTCTGTAGATCTATGGCAGGAATGAAAGAAGCTTACTTGCTGAAGTCATACAAAAGCTTTTCAAAGATGAGAATGGGACCAGTGGAGCTGAGAATGATGAGGGGCTGGCCGCTGAAGAGGCAGAAGACAGAACCAGCCAAAGCTGTACCCAGAAAACTCTCCATCACACCCTGTTGGAAGAGAGAAGAGCTTCAGAAAGATGAATGTCTTGTAGAATGAGAGGCCAAAACCAAATGATAAAGTGAAAATTATTCTGAAAAGAGCTCAAAGGCAGTGTGTAGGATTTGTTGTTTTCAGTGACATCTAGTGGTTGAGTGGTTGAATCATCCTCCCTGGTC